ACATCTATTCAGGTTTTTAATCTTATTGTTTCATAGAATCTTATGCATGAATTATGAATATCATTATCCATTTAAAATCCATGTCCAAACTGTATGATATATAGACTGATTGTTACTTACAATGCTACAAAGGTGAAGAACTTGCATCATACAAATAATTACCCAAATCAATTTGAGTCTGTATTCATGAGTGAGAGTCATAGGCAAAGTCTGTTTCAGACTCTTGGCACAATGGATTTGAAATGTCAGTCACTTTCATTGAGCACTCTAAGGGCAGCTCTGGTGTGCTGGTTATAGCAGTCATCACATCCTGCACATTCACAGAACATTGTACAGGGAAGTCGAGCAACAGCACATCCACACTTTGCTGAGGTGCAGTTTTCACAACAACATTTCACCAGTTTGAGAATGTAGTCGGGAGCTGATGGGGTCCCTAGCGGAATGTAGTCAATCATCATGTCTGTCCATATTAGTGTTGGGAATCGGAAACCGAATCCACTATCGATTATCGGAGGATTGTGGTGAACGATTATCGATTATAATCGAAATATATACATTTTTAATGTAGTCACCAATTTTAAGAGGTTTCCCCCAGGTTTTTTCTAATTAATGTTGTTTTATAACTAATACTGTCATGCAGTGAAATGAACGCATGCAAGTAAGACACTGGAATTGTAATTAAACAATAAAAGTGGTTAAAATTTTACAATATTCGTGAATATTCATCAAATTAAATTATTAGTATTCTTAATTCAAGGGTGTTATACAAAAACAACAAAATTCCGATCAATCAAAAATATTTTTTTTTACAATCGATGAGCATTTTTTATCCTTCTTTCGATCGATTTTCGATCATCGGAACAACACTAGTCCATATCCCATTCCATGTCCCAGGTGTATGACGCGTGACATGTTCCCCTTTCAGAAATTTCTCAAGTAGTTCTGGATTGAGATCTTCTGCTGTTCTAAGATGGTACAGGCCATATCGTACATAGTTCTGATGTCCAGAGGCAAAGAAGTAGGGCATCATCAACTTAACTGCAAGCAAATTATGGAGTGGCCAGTCTGCTTCTTTCTCAGCTCTGACAAACTGTAGCATCAGTAAAACTGGCTTGATCAGCATATCGAGCCACAGTCTTGTTGTTCTGGCTAGTCTTGCTCTGTCTTCCAAGATGCTAAATAAGTCATCTGGCATGGATACCTGTGTTATCAGGTTCCGTAATAGTTCTTCAACTAGAATTCTTAAGGCCCGTACATTTTGAGGATATCTCTTTCCTGACATCATGTTTGCTACACTTCCAAAAGAGCTTTCAAGAATGTCCGACAGTCCACTTCCAGCCATCAGTGTGCCAACACATCCAATAAAGTTCATAAGGAAGAACATTCCTCCAAGGCTTAGAAAGAAATGACTGGATCTTTCTGGGTATACTCATGTTATGTGAACTGCCACCCTGTAAAGTTGTTGGTCACATGTGAAAACAACAACATTTTGTCCAACTTGTTTAGTCAGTTTGTCAGCTTCCTTCATAGCAGTTAACATGGTGTCAGGGTCAGCTGGTTTCATGTCTATCAAAGGAGTGTAAACTGATGTTGTTTTCGACCTGAATGTGTGACCGTCCCTTCTGTTCAGTGCACTATTATAGCCGTTCCATTCTGGACAGGAGGCGTCTTGAACAACTTTAGACAAGAAATCGACATCCCTAACAGTTGCACGTGATGTCGAGACTATCTGCATGGCTAAAATTTTCAGTGGTTTCACTGTCTTCATGATGCAGTCCTTAGGTATGATTGGCTTTTTGGGACCTGTGTATCGTTCTACTGTGATTTCATCATCCACTTGCTGTGTCATTTCCTCTTTCTTTTTCCGACGAAATGTATCGTTGCCACCAGTGTTCTTGTCATCATCAAGTGTCTGAGTTAGAAGCATTGCAAGAGCATGTGTTGATTGGAGTCCATTTTGGCTGGAAATGTTGGCGTCAAAGTTGTTGACTATGACTTGTACAAGGGGAGTTCTCCTGGTGATTCCGATCTTAATCCTCTAGATGGGACATCATTTGATGCAAGTGCTGCTGATTTTTTGAATCGAAGAACTTCATCATAGGTGCACACAATACCAAACTTGTTCAATTCTTGAATCAGATCTTTTCCTTTGATGAACACTCCAAGACATGTCTGCAGTGGTGTTGGCTGCTTTTTTAGTAAACCAATAATCATATTACAAATCATCAGGACTGGTAGCGCATGTTCTTCAGCTTGGAGATTGCAACCCAAGAGTTCTTGAAATGTTGGACTACAAATCTCTCCTGCAATCTGGCAGTCTATTCTTTTTTGTATTTCTTTTTGGAAAGCGGTATTTCTTTAGTTTGTTGTCGTACCTGTTTGGAAATTTTCTTCATGGAAGAAGTCAAATCATCATCTTCAGTTTCATCAACGACCACCTTAAGGGTGTCTGTTGCAGTGTCCCGGAAGACAAGAATACTGGCTATTCCTTTTCCTCTTAGAATAATCAGTTCATCGGCAAAGCACCTTGATCAGCATTCATTGATCTAATCACATAATCAAATGCTTCATCTGAGCTTGACTCAGTTCCTTTCAATTTTGAAATGGCTAATTGAACAGATTTTGGGGCCATACATTTTTTTACGACATTTGTCATGATATCTGGCTTCTGTAGCATGAAGATCGCTTATGGTTTCTTCTACTCTCAGTCTAACTTCATCTCCCCACTTATCCTGACGTATGTCACATGTGCCAAGAATTATATTCTTGAAGGATGTTTGGCCATCATCTGCAGTTCTGCAAAGGATAGATCTCTTCCATCGTCTAGGATTTCTAGTCTTTCTCAATTTCACATGGGCTCCCACAGAATAAACAATGTTCGAGAAAGTTGAAGTCAGCAGCTGAATCTGAACGACAGCTTCTCTTTTTGGGTAGTTCTAGCAGGCATATTTCTGAACATGATTTTGTAAGTCTTTTAAGATGTGTCTTTGATGTGTAAGTAGAAACACAGTTTTTGTAGTAGAATAATCCATTTTGTTCAAAATAAATACTATTTCGTTCAATTTCTAAATGCAGGTCATCCTTTCGGATCTTGCTAGCATCAATAATAGATGTGATACGCTGTGTCGTCGAATTAGTAGTTGTCAGTTTCTGGTTTGGGGTACTACAGCAGCCAACTATCTTAAATATACATTCCTCAACACCAGTCTGAAATTAAAGAAACAAAAGGATATATAATTTCTCTTTAAATGTGCAAAAATAAAATAAATAATATTGAAGGGTAGTTGAACAAGGTATATTGAAAGGTATAACACAATTATAACAAATATTTTTAATATTTACAAACCAAATACTGTGATGCATATACAGTATCATTCTCTGCAGACTGTACCGGTTTTCAATTACCTTTAATTAAAATTATGAAGTATTATATTATGTTATAGCACCTTACTGGGCACATATTGCCAAACAAATCTGGTTCATTTAAGGTTGATGTAACTGACTGAGTTTAGTTTTACGCCGCTTTTAGCAATATTCCAGCAATATCACGGCGGGGGACACCAGAAATGGGCTTAACACATTGTGCCCATGTGGGGAATCGAACCCGGGCCTTCGGCGTGACGAGCCAACGCTTTAACCACTAGGCTACCCCACCGCCCCTAAGGTTGATGTAAATCATTGTCATGACTGTAGTCCATAGGAAAATAGCACCTACAAATCAATACTGTCACTTAGATCAATGTTGTTATTCAATTTAGAGAAAAAATAATTTAAAACTTTTCCCTACTTGCATAGTCAATAGAGCCAAATGGCGGTATGATTAGTTGTTCAGAAAGTAGTACACAGAGTTTTCATCAAACTATCAATTCAAGGGAATGGAGACTTTTCTTCTATGAGAATCTTTGAACATTGTTTGCAAACATGAATATATGAATGCATATATAAGTGGTTCTGATAAATTTCAACATCAGATGAAGTTTAATGCAGCTTTCCACTGATGCAGATACTAAGCCTAGCAGACGATGCATCACTAGTTTGCATTTTTGATCTGAATTATTTTTTATCACATATCTTTCATACAATTACTCTGATTTACAATGTTGTACATGTTATAAATCAGTTGTACACCACAAATTAGTTACCATTGTGCCATATTTTTTGTGCAGATGATGTTAAAGTTGAGTAGCTAATGTAAAGAGACTTCACAGGAAGTACTCCATTTTGTGCTACTTACCCAACAACTTATTGTGCCTCCACATGGTCCTCTGCTGGCGGTTGAGATGTCAAGGGTGCATCTTAAAACATGTTTTATTCAAAACCCTCAAGGGCATCCAGCTGTTTTATGATCTACATATATTAAAATTATAAAATCAGCAATAAAATACCGTGGGACCTAAAATGCAAGGTTAGGACTGAAAATTGGAAATATGGTGGATGATAAGAATCATGACCAGTAACAATCCTGAGTTCTGATTGGTCCACTATAACGGTATCATATGCACATTAAACCCAGCCTGGTACACGGAGTATGCTGCGTACCCCGGGAACCAGGCTGCATTAGGCCGTGCTTTATAATTTACTTAGAACCGATATTTTTCTTACATAAAGAAATTATATATTGGAAACTACATTTGTGTGTAATTATTTCACAAACCCGATCGAGGGTGAAGTCCAAATTAATACCGTTTTCGGGCAAACAAACGTTGTGAAATAGTAATCACTGCGTTAAACCGTCAATTTTGGAGTTTCAAATCCTTATTCGAACCCTACAGATGCGGGAATGCGCATCCTGTTCGTCTACTTACTAGGATTTCACGGGATCCATAACGGATTCCCATGACTGACGTAGGTATATTGCAATGAACACACAAACACAGACAGGCTATCACATCACTCGAGGCCACAGATACTGCTGTTTATATTAGGCCCACCTAAATCGATGTGAAAGCTGAATGAGTCACAGGAAAATCGTGTTCTCCTGTGCTTACATCAGAATTGATAATCCTGAACACATTCGTGAATACTTTTTTTATTCAAACTTTGAATTTTAACTGAAATCGAATAATATTGACATACAAAATTGCCCCTCATATTCACGTGATATTTTGTTTCTGCGGGACTGTGAAGATGTCTGCCCCCAACGAGGAAACACATGAGAGGCCTAAGGTCGGGGTAGGCGTGTTTGTGACAAGCCAGAACCACCCTGGATGCGTTTTGCTCGGCATCAGACAAGGCTCCACGGGGGAAGGAACGTATGCGGTGCCAGGTGGACACTTGGAATTCGGGTGAGTGCGGAGATGGTGTATGTAGCACTGTGTTACCGCCAGGGCAAGACATTCGCCCTGTCCCAGTTGCGGTCGGGGTTTGCTAGGTTATAGTGCCAGTCTCAAGTCAGCGCGGGATTTCAAGCTCTTCACAGGGATAGCCCATTCGCGGAGCTCCACTGTATTTGATTTCACTGCGCTTCTGTTCGCGGAGGGGATAAAATTTCCTGCGCGGGAACTGGTGGTCGAAGGGAGATAACTCTGATTATAAACGTCAGAAGGGTGTATATTGTAATATCAAATCGCATCGTCTGTCATGCCCAAAGTAATCATTGCAACACATGTCCCTACATTCTTCTCCTATGGCTAGATGTTTTCCCAGAATACACTCTTCATCTACCACCATACGTACTCCCGCGTGATATTGCTAGAACATTGCTAACAGCGGCGTCAGCCACTTAGGAGATAAACGTACTGTGTTGGAAAATCAGAGGTATATAACGAAATTATAATAGCTCTAAATTTGATTTAAAACCGAACTCGTAGCATGAGGTTTTAAATAAAAAAATTAAAATCTCTGATTTTCCAACACAGTAGGTTTATCTTCATTCTACCATAACTGCGCTATTAAGATTAAAAATACATACTGAGTTGGAAACTCAGAGGTATATAACGTGATTATATATATACCTCTGAATGAGTTGAGTTGGGCTTGACGTCACATCGGCATTATTCCAGCCATATAGTGACGAGATCAAGTTTCCATTTATACCTCTGAATGACTTTGAATAACCAATCACAATCCAGTATTTACTGAAGTCATGGTAGAATCCCTATTTACAAGTCATCCACTTGAATTTGTTGTTTGTGACGATAGTAAACATGTAAACCGCGGATCTGATAGCAGCTAAACAATTTTATTAATGTTATGCATTCAATATCAACGCAGATCCATGTGGATCAACTGCTCTGTGAATCATTCAGGCAATCAATATCAGGTGTTGGAAGCTCGAAATGTGTTTGTTAACTGTTTTTCGTTCCAACGAGTATGTTACACATGTAATTAAGTTTTAAGCGAATTTACAGTGTTTTTTTAAACACCATTTACCCCCAATACTGTTCATTCTCATCAGAGGCGCCCCTGACACCATGCAAGGTAGGAGGCTCCAACTGATGATCGATGGATATACGGCAGTATAGTACACACTTGTATCTTCTCAGTGAGTCGTGGGAGAAGTGCGGTGCGAGAGAGGTGCTGGAGGAGACGGGGCTGTCTCTGAAGGGGGTGCGTTACTGCACCGTAGTCAACGGAGTGAAGAGAGAAGAGAATTACCACTACATAACGCTGTTCGTCAGGGGGAGAGGTGGACCTCAGCTACAAGGCGGAACCAGAAAACACGGAGCCAACAAAATGTCTAGGTGAGGTTTCTGAATCCGAGATATTCCATATTTTTCTTCCCGTCATAGATGTGTTCCAAGCGCATATATATACACAGACATGCATGTATTAGATTCTTGACCAACTTGTTGCATGTAAATACATTTATTTGAATACTTTTGAATTGTAATTTACAGGTTGGGAATGGGTGGAATGGGACAAGTTTCCTCCCTTAGAAAACCTCTTCTGTCCTCTGCGAGTGCTCCGAGACCAAAACTACAATTTATTCCAAGAAAGCTGATTTTCAGACACAGTGGCCCACCAGACAGAAATCCGCTGAAGTTTAGTCTCGGTTCGACATATGAAGCAAGCCCAAAGAATATAGGAGTTATTTGATGCCGTTTGTGATTTTTTAAATAAAACTACCGACTGTACCTCCTGTCGATAACTTGTTTGTGGTAAGATGTACCATGGTTGTTTTAGGTCCGTGGATTTTCGAAAATGTAACATGAAATGAGGACAACGACTGTTTATATCATGCTTACGGTAACACAGCTATGAGTTCTTAACTCAACCACAGTTAGCCACAGTTAGCCTGACCAAATCGTCAACAATTTGGCTGAATTTTGCGAGAGGGGATAGTGACAACGTGGATCAAAGCCCTTCACTATTCACGCCTACATCGGTAGGGACAGATGTTCTACCAAACAGTCTGGTAACACTCTCCGACACTGGAATACAACCTGCCCTGGTGGCCTCACTTACTGATGCTTCACTGAGTGGTTACAGAAGACGCCATTCGTATGAACAGCCTGCATGGATATAACCTATGACCACATAGTTTAAAAGATGTTCCTAGATAAATCCTAGCCTAAGGTAATAAGGACTCGTATCTTAGACACTTTTCAGTAAGACAAAAACTTCTACTCTACATTGTTCTGTAGATTGCCATGATTAATGTTATAAGGTAAACATGTCATATTGGAATAACTTTAAGCAAACACTTCAATTTATACTCATTAAGATTTAGCTCAGAGTAAGTGCGTCAATTGTGATATCATAATCAACCAAGCATCCAGTAAATGTGTCAACAAGATTAGTGTCACTTCTGTTAGGATTAGCAGAATAAAGTACTCCCCTCAGTCTGGTCATTTCATTTTTTTATAGGCGACACCCCATTTCGTATTGCATCAATTTAAAAATTAGGGGTCGGCGCTGTTTTGAGGATGAATGGAATTTTATTATTGCATAAGAAATACAGCATTTGCTGTGTACTAAAGTTTTAGATTTTTCTAGCAATGGCAAAGTGAGGTTGATTACATTTACGGATGCAAATAAATCAAGTGCGTGCTTATAATATAATAGGTCACTAGACATCACATTGTCCCATGACATGATGATAAATATCGAGGTAAAAAAACCCACAGAAATAGGATCAAATTGGATCAGTCTTCCACGCATCAGAAAATCTGAAAAAGCTTACACTGCTGGAATACTTTATTACAATCAGACTAGAACTACCGGGAATATTTTCAAACGGCATCTGATGGGCATCCACCTTTCTTATTGTCTCATTGTTAAGGCTGAAGATATTCTGTCATGGTAGACAGCTGAGCAGTGCGTCACGGTCAAGGGAGAGGTGCTGCCCACGTGGCAGCCAGACGACGTTATAAAATACTTGGCGCAAACACGAGTCACTCTTAATTTCATCAGTTATGAATTTCCACAGTAAATGGGCGCAGCAGCCTATTCAGGTCAAAACTAGGTCCTTCACAATCCTACTATAATGAACTGGCACTTTGGCATTGTTGCCCTCTCATTACTGGGGTAATCTTTCTAACAAATGCGGTGTTCTACTGTTTGAAAAGAAAACTAAAACCTAAGAAGTAACAAACTCTTGACATTTTTAAGAATGACTAAACCAATTTTGACATATTATAAACAATGGTGTACTTTGGGTATTCAGTTACTCATAAGTCCAATATGCTCTTCAGAAAACCATTAAAACAGAAAAAGAAATGTTATTCAGAATATGGCCTTATAGATATGCAGACGCATAAACAAAAATAACAAGCGAGGGGGTGTTGTTTTAAAAATATAGTCCCCGTGCAGATGAATACACTTGTTCCATCTCTTTTCCACGTCAACATTCGAGATAATTGTATATTTTATTCATTATTTATAGTTGTTCCCCGTGGTAAATCATTGACGTGTTGTCCCAGAGGAAGTTTGTCAGAATTTTCTGTGTTGATCTATTCGCAGTACATTTCTAGAATTTTGAAACTCTAAGTGTGATACACGTGTTATCGCCTGTCTCCTGCCGCAACTGAAATGTTGATAACCTCCGATTACACTTGATCAACAGGGTATTAGATGTGGAGACCCATGTGCCCATCCATATACTCACGCAGGATTCAAGGAACCCATCGGACACAAATCTGTAATAGAGAAGTTCATTAAGGACTGACCCATCCCAGCAGACTTTGGTCTCCTTCAACTCGTGGAATCGACCTATTTATGTACGGATTTGTGGACGGCATTAATGTTTTCCCTTTGTGTCGACAAGGCTTGTGTTAGGTCGACAAGGATCCTGCAGGCAAGTGTAACGCATTAGCATTAATTGTGAAACTCATCGGCCAAGAAGACCCTTCTCTACTGACGCTCCGTCCGCTGCAAGATTGTCTTCACCACTCATGACGTCGACGTTCTGACGTTAGGATTGGCTGTGTGGATGTTGGGATTGGCTGTGTGGATGGATGCTCAGACGACATCGAGGGGATGTACCATCTGCAAGACTTACTGTCTGAAACCAGTGGACTGCATTTGATGTCCACAGCCGGAGGTTTGAACTGATGAACTGTCCTTACTTCAAATACCTTCACGGCGGCACTTATGAAAACATGTGGTTATCCAGATGAATATCTAATATAGAAAAGAGCTAACGGTATCATGTTAAGTCGTCCCGGCGCTGGAGTGTTGTAGTTTTGGGTCGTTCATGAAAAGAACTGTTTGTTTGGCAAGATGCTGTGAAATAAAACCTGTTTTTGTAAAAAGAAAACTATTTTATATTCACCTGTTCTGAGTTTTTACCACGAAACGGATGGTGTTTTTTTTTCAAATGGTCGCTCCATTCATATCACTTGCAAGATTCGCACATTGAAAATGATGATCTACCTACATGCTGTACATGTGGACATCATCGTGGTGTGAAGGTCACAAATACCTGCCCCACGCGTTCGTCAGCATTATTCACATGTTGATTATGTATTTGACATGTTTCAGAACTTCAACTTCAAAAGGCACATGTTATTATGTCGTGGATATTCACTTTCATATTTTAATTGCTTTATTTGAATCAGTTAAACTGTTTATGAAGAAGAAACAAATCAACAAAATGGAGCGTACGTGTCTGTTTTAACATACCCGTGAAGATCCAGTCCAGAATTGATCCTTATCAACCCATGCTTGTTGTAAGAGGCAACTCACAGGATCGGATTTTCAAGTTCTCTGACTTGGTTGACACATGTCATCGTATCCCACTTGCGTAGATCAATACTCATACTGTTGATCTCCGGATTTCTGATCCAGACTCGATTATTTACAAACAACTACCATATAGCTGGTATAGTGCTGAGTAGGGCGTTAAACAACACCAACAACAACGCCAACAAACAAATACACACACACACACCAAAGGTAAGGCAGTGAGTTTAGTTTGAGGATGAACAATGTGATTATTTTGTTATCCCATACCAACCCGGACAGCAAATGGAAAAAGGGTTTCCCTGAAACCTCTCGCATACCAAAACTGAAAGGAACAACGCTCTCTTTTAACGCCTACGGACTCCGGAGCAACGCATAAACAGAACAAAGTGAAGTCGGACCCAATACGCCAAAGCAAGACATGACCAGCGAGCAGCACAACCCTCGTTTCAGTTTTGATGTACAGTTTTACTGTACAACCAAAACCACTACATCTGCAAATAAAATGGGATGCCACCAGAACAACGCAACATGTAACACTGTGAACCTTGTCCAGGCCAATCTGAACTCTATCAAGACTCGGACGGCAACCATGATGAATCCAACAATTCAGCAGATCAACAACAACCTCGTTTCACTAGAGACATATCCGTCTAAAGGAAGATCCAAACGAGCTATTCTTGGATTCATTGGAAGGTTTTCCAAATCACTCTTCGGAACTGACACAATGGACGACGTCAGTGTGATAGCCTGACACATTAATGCATTCACACATAGAGACCTGAAAGTAGCCAACACCCACAAAAGTTTCTCTACCCACTTTTCGTCATATATGACAGCAATGGACCACAGGTTTAAGAATGCTCTCTGTGGCATCAAACCATGAAGCTATTAGACAAGCCACTAAGATCATAACACATTCATCCACATCAGTTTCAACCCATCAAATTCAACAGGCATCACTCATTGAATATAATTTACAAGAATTCAAATTCGGAATTCAATCTTTGGTAATTGGTGAGTTATCCCCCCTTCTGATTAGTCCTGATTTGCTCTCTACAACATGTCACCACATTCAGAAGCTCTCACAAAAGGAATGTGTTGGGTTATCTCTGTTGGAGAAGAATCAGAATCCTAATTTCTGTTATGAACATGGAAATTTAATGTTTGTTCGCACCATATCTGACAAACTCTATCTTACTATCAACTTTCCTGTTGCTTCATCATGTTATACCTTTAAACATTTTCACATTAATTCATACCCTGCCCCAATCAATGCAACTTCAAAACAAGCCACGCAACTATAAGACTTTGCGCCACATGTAGAAATCTCTACATGTGAGAAATAGTTTACAATGTTATCAGAAACCGTCTAACACAATGTTATGGTCACGAGATATTACACTGTCCATTCGGCACCCTTGAAGAGCAACATCTTCGTGGTGGGTGCTGGGTAACACCAATAGCTGTTCGCCCCTGTGTGGACCCGGGGTCAAATAGGTCCTTACTACCCTATTGCTGGTCGCAAGAGGCGACCAAACTAGGCAACCCATTTGCCGTGGGTTGCGTCTCTGTGTCGGCAGAGGAAGGGGAGTCCAACACACCACTTTGACCCTAACTTCGCCAAGACGGGTGGTAGAATAAGCCCGATTCTACCAATCGGCTGCTCACGCCTTGCCCTGTGAATGGAATGTTTACACAAAATTTGGTATTAAAAAACACTTTTGGACATGTTGAAAATGTTAACTGATATTCTGCCAAAACCAAATAGACTTGCAGACCTATGCACAGAAGGCGGTGGCTCATGGCCCAA